TCGATTCAAACACCTCCTTGAATTCTGCATCTGGCTCCAAAGTTGTTATGTCCATAAAAAAGGGGTCCCCATAGGCATCAGTAGGGGCTGGTAGGAGAGGGTGGATAAGGGTCCTCCCAGAGTTACTTATCATGAATGCATAAGTACTTTGGCCTTGATTAAAGAATGTTATGTCGGACAAAAGGTCCTCAACGGTGATGTCAGTCCCTACCACGCCAATGAATTTTCCATTGTGAAAACAAGACAAGGAAATCGTCAAGACTTGCCCTGAAATGAAGGTTGGGGAAAAATAGCTTTGATACGTGAGTAAGTAATAAAATACATTTTACTGGTTTTATGACGTGATGAAGCCGCGCAGGATTTCAGGACAATACGAGAAAAGTTTTTAAATCACGAGCTGTCAGAGTAAGGTTCTCAATTGTTCTTACAACATCACAAGTGGGTTTATCACTTCATAAAACCTGGAAAACTGAAATTTTTTTTCTGTTTCCTTTATGGAATAAAATAATTTTTGTCTCTCAGAGAGTATCAACTATTTTGTTCATCAAGTCGCTAATTATAGAAAAACCCGTCAAAACGCGAGAAACCAATAAAAGCGCTCGAAAGAAAACAAGCAGCGTAAATGACAACAACCAAAATTATGAAACAAATTAGACAAAGAATCCCTAAAAAAACTGTAGAGGAAACTGAAGGGAAATATTGGTAGGCAAAAACTATGATTTGCTGTTAAGACGTAAATCAATTTGGACAAGGAAAAGCGAACTTTGAGGTTAAAATGTTGGTCTGTCTCCGTAAATCAGTTTTATGGACACTGGGATGGATAAGCACACTATTTAAGGGTCAATTTATACTGCAGAAATCTTCATAGGCTTTGGCAGCCAAGCGAGTCAGTAACGTATCTACACCTAACTTGCCCAGTAGCCGTAACTGCACGACAATTACCATTTGTCTCTGATAATCATACAAATTACAAAATTAAATCAAAGGTGTCTGATTCAACATACCTAATCCAAAAGCGTCCACATATGGCACAGACACAACTGGATCAAGGTGGGTCCCCAGCGAGAATAAATCATAATAGGTGGCCATGTCTCCTCTTAAGGTTTTGAAGTCCTTAACATATTTGTATCTGCCGGTCTAAAAGGAATATAAAAAGGGTGAGTAAACCATAACTAAAAAAACTCAGTGTCGAAAGCAATCCTAGAAGGGGATACTGTGGTGCTGCGTCGGTGGGAGAGTGTAACAAGGCAATTTGGTATTAGCGGCTGAGTTGATAACGTTAATTGGCCACCGTTTAGAGTTTGAGGAGCTTTCAACCTTTTAACGATGGCCAATTTAGGTCATCAACTCGCTTGATAATACCCAATTACCGAAATTGCATTGGTTTTACCTTACCTTGCTCTTTGATTGGTCCAAACAATTCGTACCATTCCCCACCAATCAAATGCAGAATTGAAACCGATGCGACTTGTTCACTCGCTTTTTCCCGCGCTTCGGGTAGCTGGCTTGTTTTTATTCCGCTTCCTCCTGATTAGTCGTTGCGATTATTTTGGTTTGGGTTTTTACGACACTCGATCGAAATATACTTTAATACGCAAAACGTTATTAAGATGAATGCCAACTTACTGTGATGTCTCCAACCGAGATATCTGCTGGTATGCCATATTTTGCTGTGTCCTGCTTCGCTATGTCTTCTAGAATTGTTTGGTTTACATTGCCGAATCCATACGTTAGGATGATAACGGAGTTGTTGAGCTCAACATTCTTATCCCTTATTGTACGGAAAATAGAGTCCTTCTTAATATCCGAGGGTTTGCCATCCGTTAGAAACAGAATGACTCTTTTCTTTTTTTTCCCCGATTCTCCAGAAACTGAACCCTTGAAGAGACTGAATGCTTTTTCAAAAGCCGGCTTGTACTGACTCAGACCTGCAAGATTACATCATAAGAGTCCAAAGGAATCATCCAACATTGTGATTAACGAATGGTAGAAGGACAGTGCGAGATCTTAAAACATTCTAAAGATCTTTAGAATTAACTTAGAAAGATTGTTGCGAGTATTTAAAATGAAAATTATTTGAAATGTCTGATAATCAGAATTTGAAATACGCTTTGTCACTACTGCCTGCAACTCACATTGTAGTAAAAAACAATTTCAATATTTACCATGCGGTACTAATCCTTCCACATAATATTTCATTTTCTTTATATTTATAGGAACTGCTTGTGCTAATCGTTCAGTATAGCATGGAATTTTGCCCCCAGTGTCTCCTGGCGTTGACGCAACAGTACAAAATGAAACAACTCCAACCTGAAGAGATAAAATCATGTTCCATCATCACCCAGAAAAGGCAAAATCTTTAATTTTCCTAGTAACTATCCTTTAGACACGTTGGTTTAGACTCAGGGAATTTTATGAAATGAAGGACATTATATCCTTGAATAAGTCCTCCCATTTCCATCGTCTCATGTTTTATGCCTACCTGGTCCTAACCTCCAACGGGAACTAATTTGATTTGATACTTCCAAATTGTGCCAAACTACTTCTTACCTGGTCTTTAGGGTTCATAGTGTCCAATACTGTTTTGGCAGCTTCTTTGGCAGCGTGAAGTTTTTCCCCAGTCATGGATGCGCTGATATCAATAACAAGCACCACATCTTTGGCTTCATGTGTAGCAGTTTCCACGTACCATGGTCTGAAACGAGGGTCAAACCTACCACAATCCTCTTTATCGTCATACACGGGGAAAGTGGTCATTACACCTTGCTCCGATCCAAAATATTGCCATTTGATAAAAGGATACGTTCTGGAGATATCTCTCATTTCCTCGGCAACACCTTTATCTAAATAGACGAGGTTTGGAAGGGCACTGTTAGAAATCTTCAAACAGACACGGTCCATATCCACTTTGGTATGGAATCGAATATCATACTTGAGTGTGGATTTGACAACATTGCAGCATTCCTCTTGAGGCACCGGTTTAACAGAGTCCGCTCCGACGTATGATGCTTCTATAGCTGTCTTGAGCCGTTTTACGACCTCAAATCTTACTTTGAACTTGTCAGAAAGTTTTGCAGCAAGTTCTGGAGTCACAAGATCTCCTTGCACTGTTCCCTTGTGATACTGAAGGCTTTCGAAGTACTGCTGCAAAAATCAAAGAAAACTCTCAGGCGATACAGGATCAGAGTTGAATAATGCATGCATTGTTTTGATTGGATCGTAATCAAGGTCTGTTGGAGGAAAGACGCATATATGATGTCATCCTTAGCAATAGTTATCTTTTCTTTATCACATGAAACAAATAGATTCTATGTTTCCGTGCACCTGTGACGCTAGATCACAAATGACGTCAAAATGTGGTAGGAACACCCATGACACTCCCGGCTGCGCCTCGTGGGCCACTTTTTTGTCATCTGTGACCTATTTCTGAACAGTTATACGCACGACAACAGGAAGTCTACTTGTTAAAAAATAATAAAAGGCTAAGCTGTAGAATTTACATGTCATTGACTAAGAATAACTTTTATTGTGTTATGCCTCGATCTTCAAAGCCTCCCGACACATGTAAATGAGGTGGACCAAAGTGGCAGGCCATTCTGCAGTTGCTCGTAAAAAGTTCCCAGCTTTACGCCCTGATTTGTTTGTCTTTTAACAAACCCATCAATTAAGGTCTTAACTTTTGAGCCTTTAGGCTTAACTCGTGAGGAGAAATAACAAAATTATGATGTTGAAAGGGTATGCCATCACTTCCTCTTTCGAATGCGTTCGGAGCAATGGCCGGCGGTTGTGTCACCGAAACACAGTTTCCAGCATAATTGTACCTTGGAGTTTCGAACCAAGGGTTCCAAGATCTTTAAGATATGAAACTAAAATTAAAAAAAGATGCTCTGAGCTACAAACAGTCTGATTCGGAACTGTTATGTAGGTCAACGCATCCCGTTTGCAATGTCGTTAATATTAGTGATTAGTCAGAGGCGAGAGGCAAGCATAAAAACGAAACATTAAGATCGTTCTAAGAACTTTTCCGAGTGAAGCTCTGAATGACTTTCATTTTATTATTAGCGTTGAGACGAGATGATCTTTGAAAGGAAAATTTTGAAAACCGTAGACATAGTTAATGATTCAAAATTACAAGAATCAATACGTCTGAAGTGGGATATGCATCTTGTTTGTGGCGCATAAATAATTGGCAGGCAGGAACTAAAGATGTTGGATGACTCAACATTTTCAGAAAGTCAACAGCTCTAATTACAAGTTTCCACGAAAAAAGGATGAAACATTACTGATATTATCTTGCAACGGTTGATGGTTATGCCACACATCACAAGATAAATGCGGATAACTGCTTCATTAGATATGAATGATAAACAGGAACTCGTTAGATTGTTAGTCACGCAGATGATCCGTAAAAAAAAATCGCAATACAAAACTCACAACTTTTCAAAAAGTAGATAAGAAGTAACCTGTACATATCTCGATTAACGTAATCACAAATAAAGGAAGTAAATGATAACAAATGTTAACAAATGAGGAACTAACTCTCACAGTTGCAATGCAATTTAAGAAATTGGAGAAAATAAACCTTGCAAATAAATCAGGCTTCAACAAGGCTCGAATACAAACCTGGGCTTTTCTATTCTATCAATCATATTTCTTTGAAAAAATAGTCCCTGATACACCATACCGAGGGAAATTAAATATCCTATACCTGCATTTCGTTCACTCCTAGCGCATCCCTGGCGAATGTTTGCAACTCTCTCCCTATCAACCTTGGATCCAGAAGACTTGCATTTGTTTGACTCGCTAGCAAGATGCAGAGGGCTAGTAACAGTATGAAGGCTTTTCCATCTTTGAAGAAAGCTTTTCTTGTTGTCAAAGCCATTTCTTTTAACTTATCTCCGCTCTCTTCCGCTATTTTCACGTTCTGCGCTGGTGGCTCTTAAAGCAGACTTACATTTCAAGACTGCGCACTTATTTAACAATGGTATGGTAATTTATATAATTTGCGTCGTAAGAGAATCGTGTAAGACCTCATGTCACGCGACATAACTATTTTTAAAGTGTAGTACGACTCTAAATATAAGTAAAGTGAGACCGAAAAGTAACACAATTGAAAGAATTAGCCTCAAAATGAAGAAGTTTGATCAAGAATGGAGGAGACCGTTGTGAGGTTGTGAATTACAGCGGATGATCGAAGTACTTTTAATTATGTAACTCTTTAATTGAAAGACCCCCTAGCGAGTAAAAATAGCAGTAATTGTAATCAGCTTAGGTGTTTTTGGATGTTGCTTGGTAGCCATGCGACCAAATAAAAGAAGGGAAAAACCCCCTCATGACTAATCACTGTCGCGTTGGTTTAAGGAAAATCATTCTGTGCACTTAGTGTTGCTATATATGGATCTCTGTGTGTCGGCGATTAACAATTTTTTGTTCTGTGATTACAATTCGATTTTATTGACCATCAGTTGTCAACTGGTCAGTGTCCTATCCAGGATTGACGCAATAATTATTAAATAACTGCACTTGAGTTTTTTTTTTCACTTTGCTCGTTAAATGATGTATACGATAATTATGCTGACCAGTTAGGAGTTTGACTATTTAGTTTACTTAGTATTGTTACAATAATGAAAACCGTTACCTTATTAACAGTACATAAACTGCCCTTACAAAAATCACTTATCTCATTTTGTTTGCAAGATTAACAATATTTAGTGTTAGTGCTTACTCTGCACACAATCCTAACAATTAAAGACAACGAATATTTCCGATATCTCTCCTTATTATATTTTTTCATTTATTTAACTTTATTTAAACACGGATAAAACATCAGGATTTCAAGTAATCACTAAAATTGCGATAACTACATTGTTAAGATACTAATCTACTACGAATTAAATCTAATAACAGCAAAATAAAAACAATAACGAAGTGCCTGCTTTCCATGAATGCCGTGTGATTAATTAACTTATTTATTATCAAAAAGGAAACCCCTGCAGCCGGATTTACAACTAGCAATAGTTTGAGCTTGCCGCAGATTGGTAGGTAAGCTGTTCCACATCACCGAACCATTATAGCTGAAACTTTTTTTAGAAAATTGGTGCGGGGGAGTGGAACATCTACTGCCCTCACAATTCCTAAGAGAATAGGTAGACGTGAAATTAAGAGATCCTCGCAGCCAAAAACACTACTGAAACGAATAGTTGAAAATAGGACCTGAAAAATTCAGGCCCGTACAGGATTTGAACCCATGACCTCTGCGATACCGGTGCAGCGCTCTACCAACTGAGCTAACAAGCCAACTGGGAGCTGGTCAATGTGTTCTTAGCTGCGAGGATCTCTTAATTTCATCTCTTCACCGCAGTGCAAATATATCAATTTCATATATCTAAAATCATCAAGAATAGGTAGACATTGCACTCCGATCAGTAAACATTGATTTCAGATAATCAAGGGCGAGACCATTAGGAGATTTATAGACCATAGTGGCTGTTTTTAATTCTCGTTGGAGATTAAGTTTTTGCCAGCCTAGTCTAACAAACAGATCATCTGCATGGGCATCATATGAAGGAGAGGTCAAACACGCGCAGCACGATTCTGTAGTTTTTGTAGTTTAATAGAAAGAGATTTATTACAATTCCCCCATACGACACTACAGTAATCGAAACGAGGTTGAACAAAGGCATTATAGATGCATAGGAGCGTTTTAAGGAGAACAAAAGATCTGCTCCTCTTTACGATGCTACTGTAGGAGGCAATTTTTTGGAAATATGTTCGATATGTACGTTCGTTCCAAGTTAGATTTTCATCTATATATATTCCAAGAGATTACGTAAATTCTATTTGTTTTATAGAATTGCCGTCAATAGTAAAAGACGGGAGTCTTTTAAAAGCATTGTTTAAAATATAACAGCTGGCCAGTCAAATACAAAACAGCTTATTGACAAATATTAACACTTTTTACAGCACTTCTATAGCTGTTTATATTGTCACCATATATTTATAATATTTTTGTTTAGTATTATTCGCCAAAAACGAGAAAGGAAAATTCTTCCTGATGTCAAGAATGATACATGGACAGTGTACAAATAAATCGAAGACGAGGAAGTGAAATTTCACGGGTATTGCACATCAATTGATGTATTATACGGAAATTATAATTTACCACCAATTTCGATTTTTATTTTCTCAGTTGCAGAGTGAAACATGTACCAGAAGCCAAATCTAAAAGGTTTCCCTTTTGGGCAGTCATACCAGCGTACGGTAAGCAATTTAGACTCTCTTTTCATTGTCTTCCCCATGCCCCTGCGGCTTTTGTCCGTCGCACACCCACAGGGGTAACGCTGGAATAGCTAAAATCGACAGAATCTTGAAGGAATTTTTTTCTTGTTTCGATCCAAGAGACCGCAATCACCTTACGAACAGGAAACTAAGCGTGAACGAGATCGCCGTAATTATTTTTAACCTCCTCGCAAAGGATTCCGGTACAACAAAAACGTATGCTGCCCCTTTTAAAAATGAAAAAAGTAATATTAGAGATGTCCCTATTTTTTTTTTTTCGTACATCATACTTTGCAAGGTTAATCAGAAACACCGTTGAATGCCTGATCGTCGAGTCTGCAAGGCTAAACCTTGTCTGTAGTGTGGTAATCCAGTCAAATTCGAGAATGAGTTGTTCTTTGTTGGCACTGTAATCCGACACTCGTCGCTGATCTAGGGTGGTCTTTGGCGCGGAAATTTCACATTAAAATAGCGTCATGTGATTGGTCAATGCCCACATTCCTCAAATGCATTCAGGCATATCGTCTTTCCGGTGAATTCCCAAATTCGACTGTTGGCTCTATTTGCAAGACAATTTCGTCACTGTTTGGAGAATTCTCCGTCATTTTAACTGGTGATTTGGCTAAAGTTATTCTGAATCAGAGAGACCTCTTTTGGATAGCTGAACTGTTACGTTGAAATAAGAGTTGTCTGCGAAAACGGTCTTCCTTGGAGACAACTGGTTGCAGATTCGAAAACACTACATGGTTTACACAAGGTTTCAGGTTTTTTGCGAATAATTTGAGCTAATTCTTCGAAGATAATTCCTTCACTCGGCAGTTCAAGGTAAGGAAAAGTTAATTTGCCACTCCAGTCAAAATATCCACTCCTACGTAAGAATTTTAGGCTTTCTGTCGCGCTTTGTATTATTGCGTCCCCGTATGACATGTGGTAAATAAATTGGTGCGTGACTTCAAGATAAACGTAGACATTTTTCATTTAGTTGCTACCGCTACGGCTTTTCTTGTCACCACATGAATGATCGTAGCTCGAATTATCTTTTGATATTTTAAAATTACAGTTCTCCACAGTAGATTTCACGTTGTTTAGGAGACATTTTGATAATACCAACTTTCGTTTCAGCACCTCAAAAATCTTTGAAGTTTTGCACGTGGACAAAATTATGGCAAATCTTTGGAGAATTGCGTTATTGAAGTTTCTTTTAATCGGTAAGTTAAAGGCCAAAAATTATAAAAGCACTACACATTTTTCTTTTGCATGTTTTATTCGTTATTTCTCCCGCACCCAATGACCATTTCCTTTCTTTGACCTGATGTGAATCTCTTCTCTGACATCCTGTCGACGGACATATTAAGATGTGAGACAATTTATTCGAATCTTTTCATTCGAGACCGTGCAGCTAATCCACGGCAATGCACACTCGTGTTCCCCGTTTGCATGATAAAGTGTTTACGCAAGTCATTACTGAAGTTAAGTTCTTCCTACGATAAAAATTATGCAATTAAGATTATTTAAACCAAACTGTCCGATGTGGGCTTTATAATTTGTTGATGTTGTGGTATGGGAGCGGTAGCCAAGGAATTCCTGTGGTTTGCTCAGCTTTGTTAACGCCCTGTCAACGATAGTAACCATTTTGCCGTAATTGTCAGAGCAAGTTGTTATTCCAGATGCTTGAATTCGAAGTTATCTGATTCAGGTTTCTTTCCTTGAGAAAATAACAACTGCCCTCTTTAGAATTTTGACAAATAAAGGCACTAGATAAATAGATAACAATCGTTAATTCCAAGCTTAAACACTATCGACCTTTGTAATCATTTGATAAAATTTATTCTCACCTAAACCTTATGATTTTAACGACAACCTGATGACTTTTCTTAGTAAATATTGATTACTCACTGCACATCCTTCCCTTCCGCCTTTCATTTTATTTATTTACGAAAAAGAGTCAACAAAATTATTATCATTTTGTTGATTATTGATCGTAGAAACTGCCTCGCCGAAGTCTCAGTGAGGAGTATGGTTCATGATGACGATGACCAAAGAGAATGATAGTTGATTTTATTGAAGAGGTTCTTGATTGTTTAAACAATTTCTTCTTGAGAGCACAATTATGAATTTATGGGGAACGGTCGGGAGAATATGTATGTTGATTTAAGGGTGTGAAGGGTTTAGGAACTTGGCCTCTGCTTTTTGAAATGTGATTATCTCCATTAAAGGTTTGTCCTGTAAATACTCAATTTTGACACTTGTAGTGAAGTTTAACTATGTGCTCTTTTAGGAATGGACAATGTCTATTATGTGTCCATCCAATTTAGGATGCATGTGGATAGTTCAGAGCGCACGGAGATAGGGTAAGAGATGCTTGAGGTGCAGCCGAGAGAATCTCTTGCTACCTCAGTGCTCTCCCATGATAAATTTACAAAGAAATGTATAACAGCTAGAAGGTAGAATTGACAATCAGTTCTTGGGATTTAGGTGGTTAACAGGCATTTTTTTTTTTTAATTTTTCTCATGAAGGTTGTCAAGTTTTTGGTCAAAATGGCAATACTCAATGTGACAAACGTAGTTGTTACCCAGCCACAGGGGATCTCATGATTGGCCGAAGTGCCAATTTAACGGCTTCCTCCACTTGTGGTATGACATCGCCCGAAGACTATTGTATTGTGGCACATCTCCAGGCCAACCCAGAGGAGTGCTTTGTTTGTGACACAAGCATCCCTGACCTCAACCATGAAGCAGAGAATATGATATCAACCTTCAATGGAAATAGAGACAAAACATGGTGGCAATCAGAAAATCTCAAAGAAAATGTATACCTTCAGGTAAACATTTCCACTTTAATAACCCTTTACACCTTAACCTCAGAATCTCCTGTAAAATCTCCCAAGTCTTCTTTATAATTTTCCTTTGTTAATGGCTAGGAAATTCATTTAACAATCCAACCTTCATTGGTTGGAAATCATATCCTTTTTTCTCATGATTATAATAGATGATTCAGCAGTATGAATGTAAGGAGAAATTAAGTGCTGGTCACTCTAAGGGTTTAACCCGTCCACTTCCAGGAGTGACCAAGACAGAATTTCTCCTTACAACATCAATACAGTAACAAGCAGACAAGTGATGAGAATGTATGTAGAGGAAAATATCAATTAGGGTATAATCAGTTGATCCAATGCCAAATTCTCAACACTAACATCACAAAAGTTGTATGGCAGAAAGTAAAGAAAATTACTGTCAATATCTCGGGAGTGATAGAGTGAAAAATGATTCCAATCAAATGAATATTATCAAGATCTTATTGAAAAGACATACTTTAAATTTCTACATTGTACTTTTAAATGTTTAATATCTTGTTCATGGTTTCAAATAGCTTGATCTTGAAGCTCAGTTTCACTTCACACACTTGGTGATGACATTCCGCACTTTCCGTCCTGCTGGAATGCTTATTGAAAGATCATGGGACTATGGTAGGAACTGGCATGTGTATCGGTACTTTGCTGCAGACTGCGAGAAGACCTTTCCTGGAATTCCCCACAGACAGCAGAAAGAAATTGATGATGTCATTTGTACAGAGGATTTTTCTTCTGTGGAGCCATCATCAAATGGAGAGGTAATAATTCAGATGAATACAGTGTAGCTTAGGCTGTGTGGCTGACAAACAAACTCGCAAGGGGGGAGGGGAGAGGAGGGAGGGCTAAGTGTCAGACTACTGAGGTACATTTTTGTTTTACAATCTGTCAAAAGAAAAAGCAATGAAATTTAAGCCAGCACACAAATCAAGCCTATTTCGATGTATACATTTCTCCTCAGTGGTATGCAACCATTTTCTTCTGATATCTGATGTAAAAATTTATTCAAGATCAGGGTGGTTTTCTTTACTGATCTCTTTGTTGATTCTCACAGCCTTTACTTGTGAAAAATTTGCTAATATTGAAGAAGGAATTTGTTGCTGAACACTAACTTTAAAAAAAAAACTGTATGTCAACATTTAACCCGTTAACGTCCAGATCTGATAGTCAATTCTCCCCTCCAGCTACGACATATTTCCTCTTAATTTAGTTACAAGAATTTGGTGTTAGATCAAGACAGCAACTTCTACTTAATATGTTTGAGTATTCTTATTACCTGTTTGTTGGAAAATGTAAGCATATTGCTGGGAGAAGTTAGATGTCAATCACTTCTGGTAGTTAAAGGGTTAAAACATCAATCTTACTAAAATGGAACCTTTATTTACTTTTGACTCTGTCTTCCTGTGGCTGGCCTTTTTACACCAGCCATGCATGCTAGAATTACTGGTAAATCAGTAAACTGCTGGAATAAGTTAATAACTGAGAATCAGTTGTTTGAATTTTGAATTCATTTGTCTTTTATGATGTTTTGATATTGTCATTTCTTTATGAATTTTAAGTGGTAGATTTTGTGCAGAAAAATTATAATGAAATATGATTGCATATGTTTCTGTTGAAGTGTCTTCATTGATAACTACATGTACAAACTCAAAGCTGAGAAGCCACTCTTTTGAAAACTGCATGTGGCAAAGGAAACTGGTGTGCAGGTTGCAGTTCTCCTGTCTTCCTACCTTTACAAAAAGCAACACTCCAAATTGCAATTCAACCTGGAAACAGTAGACAAGAAGAGCCTCTTTTTGGAATGTCCACTGATAAATTCTCATCATTATTATCATTATTTTATTATTTATGTGTAATGCATAATGCATGTGAACATAACATTAAGTGTGTGTATTTCTAACAGTTTTGTACTTGATCATGTATCAGGTTATCTTCAGGGCACTTAATCCTCAAATTCCAATCAAGAATCCCTACAGCGAAAAAGTACAGAACCTGCTCAAGTTGACAAACATACGGATTAACTTTACCAAGCTTCACACCTTGGGAGACTTGGTCCTTGATCCTACACAGCCTGAAGCCAGATTAAAGTATTACTATGCCGTGTACAACCTTGTGATCAGAGGTAGCTGTTCTTGTTATGGGCATGCCGAGCAGTGTCTTCCTTTGGATGATAGTGAGCAAGACATTACTGGCATGGTGAGAAACTGTGTTAAGATGTAGGTCTTTAAATCAAATACAAATCTCTTAATAGAAATACAGAAAATACAAAATTATGTGATAATTTAAATAAATTGCAATTTTTTTAAAAAAATTCACGAGTAAAAGAGGTTGCCTCATTTTCTCTTAATAGGTGCATGGACGGTGTGACTGCGCTCACAACACAGAAGGGAAGAACTGTGAACGATGCAAAGATGGTTACAATGACACACCATGGCGGCCTGCTACTGTGGATGATTCATATGAATGCAAAAGTATGTATTCTGCTTGAAGTTCCATTCTAGAACATGTAGGAGACACAATGGCTTAATAATAATGAATTCTTTTGTGGTGTGTATTCTTTCTCTTCTTGTTTGTAGACAAGGCCTGATAAGGGCACATTGTTTTGTATTGCAGAGTGTGACTGCAATGGCCATGCTGAGGAATGCCGATTCGATCCAGCTGCATTTGCTAATTCTAATTTTACTAGTGGTGGTGTCTGTGTCAACTGTCTGCATAACACTGTTGGTCGTAAATGTGAGAAGTGTAAGCCTCTGCATTTTCAGGATCCATCCAAAGACTTTAGAGATTCAGCTGCTTGTATTCGTAAGTCCAGTCCAAGTATTTTGAATATCACACTGTAGTTAGGAAAACATCTACTTGTAGATAGTGGGTTTTCTCTTGCAATTTTATTGTTATGAACATCTCTAGATCCTGTTGTTTCAAGATTTGCTTGAACACATTTAGTACTAGTATAAATTTGCCTTCTCTCCCTACCTTAATTGGCAAAAATACTGGATTGCCTGCAGTATGGTAGGTTATCTAGGACACCTAGGAAGCAAAGGGCAGAGTTTTATAGTAATGCTCTCAGCAATTACACAAGCTATTAACTACTTCGTAGAAATTACCGGACTGTAACAGGAGATCAGAAAGCTACCCTTCCTTTATTAGACTGCTCAGCAAATAGGTACAAGGCTGTGTATTTTTTCATTTTTTATATGTAATTATGTGAAATTGAACAATCATTAATGCACATGGTGCAGCTGGTCAGCTCTCAGCCCATAGCAGGGCGTGAAATTGCGCCTAATACAGGCGCCAATGCGACTAAATTTTTCACTTTGGCGACCAAATCCTGAAAGTTAGTCGCCAAATTGGCGACTACAACGTTTCATCATAACCTTACTAAGAGATATAGTGAATTAAATAAATTTGCAAAGATAAATCCGCGGCAAACTTCCTCGTTAAGTTTGTTTCCAAAACGTAGCACATGCATCTCGATCGATAACTAGACGCCATCTTGGATTTAGATGAGCGTGAACGTTGTATATCATACATCCTAGTGTCCACTTTGTCGCACGTCAAAGATCTTTTCCCTAACTTAATTTTGGAGGGTCTATCTAGAACGCTGACAGCGTAAAGAAAGATTTTGTTTGTCTTTGCAAATGGCGACCAACTTTTTTTGAATTGGCTACCACTTTGAAGAATTTAGGAGCCAAGTGGCTATCTGAAAAAAAAGTTAATTTCACGCCCTGCATAGGACCAGCACTTTCCAAGCTTGGTATTTTGTTCATATTGTAATATTGTGGATTATTGTTTGTAATGTACATGAACATGTAGCTTTCCAAAGTAACTTTATCTCCACAGAATCTTTTAAAATTGTTTTTGAAAAATCAGTTTAAGTCCCTTCTAAGATCAGTTTTTGATGGGGATCTGATTTGTTTGTGGTCCATCTCATAGCATTGTCCATGTCATCATCTTTCATTTTATTTCTTAGCTATTTTACATCTATATATTTGTATTGTTTTATACCCTGTTCCCTAGAGTGGGTGCTATGCATGGGTCTTAATGTCCTGTTTGGGGCTTTCTCTCTTGAAATTTTAATTTCTGTAATTTTTTCCACTAATTCTTTCCTATCCTGTTTTTACAGTATTTCTTTATTTACTGCCCATTAAAGATTTAAGGAATGATTTGAACAGACACACTCTCTTGAGCACTAGAAAGAAACATCTCTATGTACAGCTGTAACACCACATCGTCTCAACTAAAGCTGATCCATGAAATGTACACATTTTTGCTGCTACATGCACAAGAGAGAATTTCAGTACGAATAACATGTTTAGTATTAAAAAACAAACAAACAAACAAACAAAATCAAAATAAAACAAACACTACCAGTAACAGAAACCTGAGACATTTTCCTCAAGCCGGTATTAGATTAATCAAGTGAGATGGATAGGAATTTGTTAAGTCGAGTGGGTTGGAAGAGAAATTTTCTTTAACAAATTTAAAAGTGAGGAGCGTCATTATTGCTTTTAATGCGACATGACATCCTAGAAAAGCAGCAATAACCATATAATTATTATTATTGTGTATTAGTTATTAGTTATTCTGGCGAGATAGAATTAGATATTTTACTCTCTTAGCTTGCGCTGAAGGATTTCACCGCATATAGATAAAGTTGTTTATATATTTTTTATTATTTGTTTATTTATTGTCATTTGTTGGGTGTGTCTAGCATGCAACTGTGATTCTGTTGGCGGTATCAGCGGGGGAGAGTGTGAAGGGAAGACTGACGAGGAAGCAGGCTTGGTGGGCGGCCGGTGTATTTGTAAAAAAAACGTTGAAGGATCCAGATGCAGTCGGTGCAAACCAGGATTTTGGAATTTAAGGAGAGACAATGATGATGGTTGTACAGGTGAAAGAGCTTTATCCCTTTAACTCCCATAAGTGACCGAGACAGAATTTCTCCTTACAATATCAATACAATATCAACCAGACAAGTGATGTGAATAAAGAAAAATATCAATAAGGGGATTATAAGTTGATCCAATATCAAATTCCCCAAACTAACATCACGAGAATTGTATGGCAGACAGTCAAGAGAATTACTAATGACATCTTGGGAGTTAAAGGGTTAAATTAATATTTCAGTTGTCAGGTGGAAAGCACTGATTTTCAACAAACGGCACGGACATCCATGGAAAAAAGAAAGATTTAAACCGAGCTTAAAACCAAGATTTTCCGACAACTGCCTGAATGTTCTGGTTGTAATTTTTCCAGTGCTGTGCCTTCTGTAAATATTTCGACATGAACCTTTCACGTTCCCTAAGAGGGAGGGAGGGAGGGGGGTGGGGTCTCCTCGGGCTTCCAGACGTGGGTGAAGCTTCTTTGGAGGGGGGAATTATCAAAAGGAGGTTTTAGCTTATTAAAAACTCATTGATGAGCACCTAATTGCAAGTCATTACTCTGTTTCTGACTGTTTTTAAGCTCCGGTGATTACTGTTTGACAACTGCATCCCTTTGGTCTCAAAACTTACAATGTTCTAAACGGAAATTAAAATTGAAAAAGGCTTTTACATTCAGGCACACTTTTTAACGAATTGCTACCAAGCCAAATCAGATAATATTATTTGAGTGTGCTGTTCCGGACGGCGGGTTCTTACAGTAGCTAGTAGTGCCATTGTGGTAACTTCCTAAATACCTGTTTGTCTATTATACACGCCGTTCGGTTCAGATCTGCCAGGTCCGCCAGCGTGCGTTCTGGGATATGTTTGATTATTTGATTGGGCAACACCAAGCCTGTTTACTGTTGCACGCATATTTTACCTTTCAGCTTGTGGCTGTAGTCCGCTTGGTACCTTGGGTGTATGTAACCCAAAGGATGGAAAGTGTTTGTGTGACCGGAACGTTATGGGACCAAGATGCGACCGCTGTCAGGTTGGTGTGATCGTGAACGCTAAAACGCGCTTTATGTGATCGTTCGTTTGTTTCTCCATTCGTTTACTTTTTATTTTCTTTACTCGTGCCTTGTGGCTTTGTTGACACATGCATTCTTTCCCATATGTGGTTCCCTTCGTTCTTTCTTGTTTTCAGCCTATTGTGCCCTCGTCACTTCGTGCCTTCGTGTCGTCAGCCTTTCTTGCCTTTTTACCCTCGTCCCTTCGTTTGTTTGGTTGTTCGTGTCTTCATTTCTTCGTTCCTTTGTGTCTTCGTTTCGTCAGCATTTTTTGCCTTCGTACTCTCGTCCCTTCGTTTGTTTGGTTGTTTGTGTCTTTATTTCTTCGTTCCTTCGTGCCTTCGTGTGTTGGTCCTTTCGTGTCTGATTGATTTCGTGCGTTTTTCCTTTCATTTCTAAGTCCTTTTATCTCCTCTCCCTTTCGCTCCCAAAATTATTTATTTGATTTAACATGTTACCCTGCATTCTTTATTTATTTGTTTTCTCATCATTCAGCCTGGTTTTTGGGGACTGGGTAATAATGCCCAAGGTGGATGCAAACTTTGCGATTGTGACGTTGGTGGTGCGTACGAGAGGAACTGTGAACAAGTTAAGGGCCAGTGTCGCTGCCGTAAAGGTATCACGGGAAGAAAGTGCGATAAAGTCCAGACCGGGAATTTCTTCCCTCTACCAGATCACCTGAAATACGAGTCTGAGGAAGCGAAAATTATTGGGGTACGTACAAAACGTGTGGTGCATCATACAAGAGTAGAACGACAAGCCATACCCTATCTCCCCTGTTACTTTTGTCTCCACACCTCCCACGACGATTGACAACAAAAAGCTTTAATGGAAGTAAGATATGTTAGAGCCCTTCTCGTTTTTGATTGTCGGAAAATCAAAAGCAAACCAGTCACAGAAGCCAATCAGAACAGAGGAGATTATCGCACGGAGCCAACGCGAACCTTACGAGGTTACGAGAGCGGGAAAACGCTAGTGACTAAGTCGTGGTTGGTTTAAGAATTGCATGTAATTGGTTGAGGAGGTAGCGGGAGTTTTCTAAACCAAACAAATGTGACTTCCGCTCTGACGAAGGGCTATCGCTCGAACCATCAGCTTTGAAACTCTTTACAGTGGCCAATTTACGTTATCAACTCAGTTGATAATTCTTAATTTCCCTGTTATACTTTCCCACCGACACAGCCCCACAATTTCTTTAGAAACTTACCCCCTTTATTCAAAGGAAAAATTTGTCATAATATTATATTGATGTTTTCGACAAGAACGCAAACACTATTCAAAGACATCGTCATTGAATTTGGTATTACAAAGGAAACAGTCGGAGACCGTCGAACGTTTTGTAATATTCGCGTCTAAAGACGTCAATGTGCTTCACGAGGTTCTCTGCTATATTTATTTTATTTTCCCCTTTTCCTCAGGGTCAGAACAACGGTAAAGTTGTTCCGAGGGAACCACAAACTGGAGAAGATGTGTCCTGGACAGGCGATGGCTTCGTGGAGATTAAAGATAAAGCGACTTTGGAGTATGCGGTGACTAATGTTCCCTACACGGGCGAGTACAACATCTTGGTTAGATATGAACCGAAGGTATGGTTTTTTATTGGGTTGGATTTTTGTGTAAGAAAAAGAGACGTTAGGCAGATAGGACCACCTATGTGCCGTGGAAAGAGCTGCTCAGTAGCCTTGTACAGAATTATAGAGCGCCTCTCGAGTGACGTAAAACCAAAACCAAAGTGATTACATAAAGGCCAATCAGAAGAAGACAAGTATTTTAAAGAACCAATAAGAGCTCAAAACAAAAACAAGAAGACTCTCCAAAGCGCGGGAAAACGCGGGTGACTAAGACACGATTGTTTTTTTTTGTTTGTTTGTTTTGAATCTGATTGGTTGAAAGAGTGGTGCGAGTTTTCTGGACCAATCACACATTATAATAGAGCAAAACTAAAGCAATCCGGGATGAGTGCTGGGTACCTATTATTTGAACAATGAAAGTAAGGAATTGGAAAACTCGAGACTTTTTAAACGCACAGTACATTTGAATGCGGGTATTCTGTTCATTTACCATTTTGGTGTAAACTTTATCAAAAAGTTATATGCTTTTGAAACACCATGACTTCCTCAGATAGGACAACTTTGTTCTCACAGCCCGGCAAGCACGTCACCTAGTTACTTAAACGTTCATACAAATGTGCATGCGCAGACATTTGACTGCTGTGCCAACTTGAACGGCACAATAAATAGTACCACTTGCAAGGTAAACCTCCATGTGAATGTTATATTTTGATTTACTTCACAGGATTCTGGACTTTGGCAAGTCAATGTAATGATCCAACGCCTCGACGGGCTTCCATTGACCAGTGGTAAATGCGTCAACGCTACTAATGCCGATGACCCGAACTATGGAAATTTCTCAGCCATCCTGCAAACCAGAAGGCGTTACGTTCTTATGCTCCCCAGTGTTTGTTTGGAGAAAGATGTGTCTTACGTAGTTAAGGTCACCTACAGCAGAGACGAGTCCAACAAAGATGGTGTCGATAGTATCTTGACCGACTCGGTAAGTTGAAACTTGAGCCTTGGTCCCTGTCGAGCAGGTTGAAGGTTATTCAGGATGCCTTGGCCCTCTTTCACTACGTATTATTTTTTATAAACTCAAGGGTTCTTAAAAACTTTTACCATAAGCGGCTGCTGATGATGTTATATGTGGCTATGCCGCAAGACGACTGGATCCAAACACGAGAGCCTGGTCGCAGGCTAAACAGACGACGATTAGAGGTCTTATAGCCGGCGATATAAAACTGGTAACTGGCTTTTAATTAAACCCCTAGAGCCCTTTAGTACAGGGGAGGGGGAGGGAGAAGGGCTGATTGAACAGGGGTGGGGGTTGGTGGTTAATAAATCATTTAAAGTTAAAATGAAATTCAACTTTTTTTTCCCTTTATTATTTCTGCCTAGAGGGGGGTCGGTTTTTAGAAAGGGGAGGTAGCTTCTGAGAGAGAAAGAGAAAGGCCCAAGGGGTGTATTGGAGAACAACGAGGCTTAGTAGAGAGGAGAGAGGAAACTCAGTACTATGGACAAGCGGTTAACAGGAATGGGAGGGGTCGGTAGGACACATTTAGAACGTCTTCACTGATCAAGAAAACTGGAGCCAACTTCCCAACTGGTGAGGTACAAATCGTAACGTTATTCCTTTCTTTTTTCCTTTTCCACAGATGGTTCTTGTTCCCTACGTAGAATCAGTTTCCATCTTTCAAGGACCCGATGGCGAACAAAGAAAAAAGGTTTTTGATCAATTCAGTTGCCTGGATTTTAATCTGGAGCCAGCCTCCCCTCGACCCCAACTTCCCGATGTTTGCAAGCAGCTTATATTCGCTATGTCATCGGTTATATATGATGGCGGAAAGCGTAAGTCGATCCGTTCGTTCTACGATAATGTCATGTAAGCCCCCATCAAGTACCCTGGGTATTTGTGGGTTAGCGAGGTCGATCTTCGTTTTAACCCGATAAACCCAAGCTTAAGTCTGCCAAACCGCATGTACCACATATGAATACAATCTTACCAAAATCGAATTGATAAAATTTGCGCTGAAGGTGACAACCAGGTTAAATGAAAAAGAATGTTAGCAATTCCTCCAGTTTTTCACAATATCTAGGGTAGTTTAATTTGTTCGTCGGTGATTGTTTGCGAGAATGCGATAGAAATCTGTACAGAACTAAAACTACTCTCAGGAGAGGGTTAGGGTGACCCCCCCACCTCAGCATAGGGAGATAGAGTGTGTCAGTTCAATCTTCTGTTTTTGTTTGTAGCGTGTAACTGTGATCCCACGGGAACCAAGCGAGACGAGAACGGGACGCTGATTTGTGATTCCGTGGGAGGTCAATGTAAGTGTAAACCGAACGTGATTGGCCAGAGGTGCGACCGCTGTGCTCCAGGATCGTTTGGATTTGGACCCCAGGGTTGTGCTGGTAAGTGACAAAGCAGAAGGTAAAAGTGCGTCAGAAAGGCAATGAAGACAAGAATCAGCACATTCTCCTACAGTAGACATAGCACAGTCCCGACGACTATTCTTTGTTTTGTTTCTACGCTGGTTTGTTTCACGAAAAGCCGCAACAAATTAAGCAAAAGGAAAAAAAAAAAAAAAAAAGAAAAAATTGGAGGAGAGCTGGTCATGCAAGACAATTTTGCTCGAAACGTCAGCCTTTGAACTCTTTACGGTGGCCAATTTACCATATCAACTCAGTTGAGAATACTAAATTACCCTGATAAACTCTTCCAGCGATGCAGCACCAGTTTCTTTAGAAACTTGCCCCCTTTAAAACCAAAGCTATTCGCTATTTTCAAATCCCCCATCATTCACCTCGTTTGCCCTTCCCTTTCCTCATCGCTCCTCTCCCCTACCCCTTCCCCCTCCATCACCCTGTTACCCCTCCCCCCCCCCCCCCCCCCAAAACAAAATCACGATAAAAGGGAGAATACACCTGTACTTAAATTTTTCCCTCCAATGTTCAATAGGCTGCAACTGTAATAGTATCGGGGCCTCTGACAACCTCTGTAACGCTCAGACTGGACAGTGTACTTGTAGAATCAAGGCAGGGGGAAGACAGTGCAATCTTTGTCCCCCCCGGAACTGGGGATTCCCTTTGTGCCGACCTTGCCGCTGTAATGGCCATGACACTTCCAACTGCCATCCAAAGACTGGAGAGTGTCTGGACTGTCAGCACAACACCGCTGGCAAAAACTGTGAGGTGTGCGCTACTGGTTACTATGGTGATGCCACTAAGGGTAAGTTTAAAGTGTGTATATGGGTAGGTTCATGACAGTCTCGTTTCCAAAACTCCTGGTCTCTTGAGATCGAGGTTGAGTAAGTACTCCTCTCTTTGAATCGTTCCGAGTATAACAACCGATGCAGTTTTCCAAATATTAGTCGAACTAGTTACACGCGGCACAGATTTTTCTTGCTTCGTTTACCTTTTAACTCTCAAATCGTTTTCGTAATTGTTTTAAGTCACCTTCCTTTGCCAATTTGTTTAGTTTTATCAGTCAAAGTAGGGAGAATTCTGTTGAAAATTGTAGTTATCCGGTACGAGAAAGTTTCATGAAAATCTTTTTTAGGTAGAAAAGGTTCATTTTAGGGCGATCCGATGTGCAAGCGGATGGGTGAAAATTCGTTTAATTTTTTATGTCGTGGACTCATGTTGAACCGCAAGTGATAAACGCAAGCCACATTTCTCATTCATTATTCTGCGTCCTATTCCCACAGGAACACCAAAAGATTGCCGTCGCTGCCAGTGCCCTGGCGGTGGGACTGGAAACCAGTTTAGTGCCACTTGTCGCTCAACTGGACCAGACTCTTTTGCTTGTGACGCTTGTGAAGTAAGTGCCATCCTTAGCATATGGTTTGGACACGCGTGGGTCACACGCGTGTCACTCGCAGTGTGGAAGAGCCTAAGTCATCGATAATGAAGTGAACACGTGTGCCGCCATTTTCATCGGTATCATCCTTCCTTGTGTGCAGGTCTTGACTCTTTACACCCTAACATCAGTATCAATATTCTCCATACTGTTCTCTATACATTTCTTTCGGTACTGACAAAGAGAATTGGTTTGAAAATCAAGAGCTTCGTAATGGCTTATCGAGTTCGATGACTCTGTATTTATGCTGACGCTTAAAACATAAGCTTTGGAAACTCTTTACAGAGGCCAATTTACAGTTTCAACTCAATAGATAATACCAAATTTTCTGGTAATATTCCCGCTGATGCAGGACCACAGTTCCTTTAGAAAGTTACCCCTGTTGTTACCCTTTTTGAATCGATTGCATTTGTTCTCCAGGTTGGTTACAGGGGAACAAGGTGCGAAGAATGTGCTGACGGTTACTATGGTAACCCACTCGTTCCAGGCGGTCGCTGTAAGCCATGTTCTTGTAACAACAACATTGATCCGTCGAACGGGGGCACCTGTGACAGAACAACTGGCAGATGTTCAGCCTGCCTCTACAATACCGCAGGCTTCAGTTGTGAGCGCTGTAAATCGGGTTTCTATGGTGACGCTATTGCCAGGAATTGTACCAGTAAGAACTGTTTATTATGATGTATAGGGTGACTATAACCGTTTAAGTCTGTGGATGAACCCCTTGTGTGAAACTGTTCAAAGAAAAGCCATTGAGCGGTACTTTCCCGAGTATTTATGCTCTGAGATGTGGCTCTAGTTTTAATTGCGTTTCTCTGAGGAGACACACTATTCCTGTCTTTTTTCAGTCCCGCGGATTTTATTGTATCCCGCGGGTATAATCCGAAGCCAGACCGTTTCAACTTTTTGACGCCAACTTGGATTGACTGACACACGTGGCCTCGATCTCATGCGGTTATCTATGCGCTTCAGTTTCATGCAAGAGCTTTGTATCGCGCTGGCCAAGTGAAGTTGTGCAGGTTGAGTCACTTCGGTCCTGATGCCTTGCGGAAAATGTATACATGTAGATAAATTGCACCCATTTGAGCAATCTACATGAGAACTGTGAGCTGCTACACCATTTCGTGTTCGTAAGTTTAATTTTGCCTCAGATTTAATTACGTCATTCTTTTGTTTCAGAATGTGTATGTAATATTAATGGCACGGCCCCTGGTTTTGATGACACATGCAATTATGAGACCGGCCAGTGCAAGTGTTTATCAAACGTCATTGGTATTCAGTGTGACAAGTGCGCCGATGGATTCTGGAACCTGGGCAGCGGTAAGGGTTGTCAGAAGTGCGATTGTTGTGGAGAGGGCTCGACTCAGGCCACTTGCAATCAGGTGAGTAAACCAGCAATTAATAATCGAGGGTGCATTTTCAGTGTAGTTTACTAGCCTTTTTTTTCCTGTATGCTTTTCTACGTCATAACTTAGACTTATTTTTTTGC